GTTATAATATCTTACGCAATATACCTTTTATAATAAAATTTTTATAATAAAAATTTTAAATCGTTATAATATCTTAAAAGTTTTATCGTTATATATCGATATAATATAATATGATAAAAATATGTGCTGGATTACAAAATCTCGGATTTTAAACTACGACTACGTACAGTTAGCCGTCTATGGAAAATATATCATAACGATAGTATTTCCGTAGATGGCTAATTGTACACAAAATGTAATTGAAAAGTTCGATGACAGGTTTTCTTTCGACGGCACTCATATAGTATTTTAACAATCATTTCGATATTTTTCTAATATAATCTACAGTATCAAGATCGTTGAGGTTGTCTTGATAAACGCTTTTGGCAATTTGTTTGATCCTGCAATGTTTATTCTATTTCTTGTTTACTTGCTTGCAAATAAATCTAGTCTTATTTAAGCACTTTATATTCATAGTACAATATCGTTACTGTAATAAGATTGATAAATTTAGGTAAAACTTATAATTAAGTGTGCAACTGAACTTACACCAAAAAGAACAGTAAAAATTTATGATATTTTATTAGTGTTGTGGGTGAAATTAATTTTTCAAAATGCAAATATTCCCTAAAAATGAAATACTTTAACTAGAGGAAACCATTTGGATATTCTAGTTAGCCTGTAATGATATATTACTAATTTTGCAAACATTGTAATCCAAAATATTTTGTCAATGTGAAATAATTTTAGCTGTGAAATATTTCGGTTTAACCTGTAACGTAAAATTATTTAAAAATTTGTAAACCTGTTATTAATAACGAAAAAAATAGAAAAAAAAAATTCCGTGGCAAAAAAACGACAAATTCGTATAATATTATTTTTTATACTCAAGAATTGAAATGAACTATTATTTGAAACGCTAACACAGATAATAAACTTTACGTATTAAACTCACCATTTTCTGTTATGAATTCCTTTTAGTGTTAAACGCATATTATTATATTTTGCAGATTCATGATATCAGATATAGATAAAGTGATAAATTATATTACTTCACGTTAATTTAGACTGCGCAAAGTTTAATTTATTGGCTCAATGCACAGTATATGAACTTTAAAAAAGTTCACCACAAAAGTTTTTATAATAAATAATAATTTTCTCGATTAACTTTTATTACATAAAAATTAAAACGTGAATTATTTCATCACCCACTCGTACGCTGTTGTTCTATAATACACTGTTCATATACAGTAATATTACTTTCAGTTTATTTAATATGTAAAATAATTACAATAATTTTATTAATTTTATTAATTTATGTGGTACATTTTACCTATAACGTAAAAAACGAATCAAGTCCATCTTTGTTGTAACAGCTAAAGCCCATTTCCTTTCACTATCTGTAACAATGGCAAAACTATGTTTCTCAAAAAACTTTGCCAGTTCAGATAATGGCGTATCAGGTGTAATTATTTGATATATTTGACGACGTATTTGATTCTGTGAATTTCTACTTCCGAAAGTAAACATCCATTTAGAAACTTCGTCCGTTAAGGTCGCATCACCTGAATCTAATTTATCTTGAAGAGATGTTAATGACACATATCCAAGAAGTTTACGATGCGAATCGGTCACTGGTAACTGTGAAAATTCTCTTTCAACCATTAGATCAAACGCATGGGCTATTGTTACATTAGGCAACACAGTAACTGCCGCTGGTAATTGGAGATCTTCTACACTTGCCTAGAGATAAGTATAATAAATACTCTTGTTATTAATAAAAATAACGATATAATAAATTAAGTCATAACACAAAGTCATGATATAAATGTCTTTGATTACCGCTCTATATTTTTCAATTCTTTGATACTCAAGTTTCTGAATAGTTTGCTCATCCATCAGATCATTTTCCAATAACCAATCTTCTGACAACAAAGTACTAGAATAATTTTTTGCGGTATCATTTAAAATACAAAGTATGCGTGCTTTGGTGGTTGGAGGTATATTCTTCTGTACGTAAGATAAAGCTGCACTAACAACTGATCCTGATGATGGCCCTATCAAAACATCATTTACGGTTTGTATAAATAAATTACTATAAAAATAATAATATAATAATAATATGCATATATCAAAATTAAGTAACGTACCAGCCATAAATCCCTCACTAATCAATTTTCTTGCTGTAGCGAATGATTCCTTATCGCTGACTTTTATCCATGCATCAATAAGAGAAACATCCAAAATAGAAGGTGTGAAATTATTGCCAATATCCTCAACTTTTTGCTCCTTGAAATATAAAAAAAAATTTAAATAAGATTGTCTAAGATTATCTGAAACAATTTTTATTAAATCAATTATTTAAAACTTTTATTGTACCAATACCTTTACTGTTTAAGAATCGGTCAACTTATTTTCTTTTATTCTTTAATATTGAGGGTCCACAGCCAGAACGTACATACAAAATAAAGTGTATTGAGGGAATACTAGAAAAGGTATCAGATTTATGAAATTTATGCGTATTTTAAAGTTGACATTTGTTGAATCATTCGTAATCAACTTTTAAAACAGCTCCTTTTAAGTACCTTGAGCTCTGGTATCCGTCCCTTAAGATTTTTAGCGAGTCCAGTGATGGTACCTGCAATGACAAAAATTAATTAATAATTATTGCTTATCGGCGAATTTGCGCAATTGACCTATATTAAGGTCCATATATTTTAACAATTCGATTGTAAACCGACCCCAAAATTCCAGCTATTATGCATTCTGCAATTGTTAATCCAGTGACCTTAATTTGGATCCATTCCGCAAACCCGCCCATATGGGACTAACGATGGATAATAATTTTTCAATTCTCACCTCCAGATTCCACACC